TTATTTTTCATTACAATGCTAATGGCGTCAAATTAGGTTAAACTAAACTAAGGGTGTGTTTGATTCATGAAAAATAAGTTATTACAAAATATTTTCTTCATTTTTTGATGCTTGGATGGTATTTAGAAAATAAATCAATGAAAAATGGTAAAGAATTTTACAAGAAACAACTTCTGTATATGATGTCTAGTAGTCATCTTACTTAAAAACATGCAGACTTTCTCAAAACATGATTTAATGAAGAACATATTGAAGAAAAGGGTGTCAATGGAAATCTTTTATCAAATATTTCTCAATGAGATTTTTGTTTTGATGAACAACTTTCAGTTGACTGTCTCATTGTTTAGGGTTGAGTTGGGATGTCTATCTAGGGTTATCCAACCTCCTTTTTTTAAATTCTTTTTTTTTTTTTATAAGCTATACAATCGGGAATGACTCTCCTTTATTCAAACTTCTTTCCACCTTTTACAAAATTTAAGTTTAAAATCTCCAACATAAAAATTCAAACTCTTATTCTAGGGTTAGTATTGAATGAGCATGGCTTGCTACGAACTTTTATTAATTGCAAATCAAAATAAGGACGATTCCTTGGTTGAAAAGGCGCATTTTCATTTTGTGGGGGTTTTCTTGCAAACATTTTTTTTTTTTTTTTTTTTGGGATTTAAGTTACTAGACTAAAGTGGTGTTGCCCAAATAGTTATTTGACCACTTATTAGATTTAGGTAAGTATTTTAAAGAACAAATTTGACTTACGTACGTCCTATGTAGTTTGGAATGGGTGCACTTATACCCCAAAATTATAAACAAGTACACTTGACCCCATGTGGTTTGAAAGCGTATACTTAATCCCTCAAATCATGTTATTTCACCTTTGATATTAATATACTTAAACGCACATATTTTCCAAACCACAAGGAATCAAGAGTGTACAATTTTATGATTTGGTGGTCTTTGTTATACATGGTTATTATTTTGGTAGTCAAATATACATTTTCAAACTACAAGTTGGATCTCCAACTACATAAAAATTAAGTGCAAATTTCCCAATGTAAAACCTAAAACCACTAGAAATTGCGCCAAAAATCAGAACCACAGAAAACACTAGCAAGAATTTGATCGAATTAACACTAATTAATTTAAAAGTTTTATTTAAGATAATGGTAAAAAAATTCAAACTTTTGCAATGCCAAACAACCAACTTCTAATATACAAAAAAAAATAATAAAATAAAATAAAACCAAAAGAAACAATCACGGTTAAACGCCAATTCACAAATTTAATCAAATTGAAGTGGTGACTCATGACTCAGAAAATTGGGTTACATCCCCCTTACGAGGCATTATACCAGTCTCACAACTAAAGTGACATATCTCTTCCATTCTCTCTTCTCCAGCAGCATACACTCTCTAACAGAAGACCCTAACTTTTTATGGGTAATGTCTTATGTCCAAGCGTCAGAGTGCACCGTTTCCAACTAAACACTAATTGCTTCATTTTTATTTTTTATTTTTTAGTTTTTGGTATGTAAAAACTAGTGGTTGAACTCTAAATCTGTAACTAAAAATAAAAATAACTCTATCATAACATCACATGGTAATTACCTCTTGTTTTGCAAGTGCACCAAGAAATCTCTATGGGGAATCTCTATTGTCCACAAGGAGAACACCATAGAGAAAACCAGAGAACACCACCACACATAATTACGCAAGAAATTGCCCAGAAGAATCATATATCAGAAGCAGAGGAGCATGCAAAAATATAACCACCAATATATTTCTTTTGTATAAGAAACTCCAATGTACAACTCCAAAGAAGCCACATTCTATATGATTGTTGATATGATATGTAACAAAAAATTATAAGCCCAACCTAAAACTAGAGCAAGAATGATCCGATCTACATTGCTGATGACAAATCACGGATGTAGTCATCCCACATTTCAGTTGCAATAGAGTCCCGCAACTGCAAACTAACCTCTAGTTGTTTTGAATCAAAAGCAATATCCAGATCATGGGTATTGACATAAGTCATTGGCTGCTCCACCTCTAATGGGGGCAATGACTCTTCCATTTGTATTACAGTTTCCTGTTCATACATTTTAAAAAGCAAATCATCTGGTTTTTCCCTACGGATGAAGTTGTGTAATGCACATGCAGCTACTACCAATTTCACCTGTGTTTGTAATGGGTATGGAGGAGCTGCCATCAAAATTGGGAAGCGTTCCTTTAAAGCCCCAAAAATTCGATCAGTTGCATTTCGCAACAAGGAGTGCCGCTGATTAAATAACTCCTTGGCATCTTGTGGATGATAACCACTGTGAAGTTCATTTGAGTGATATGGGGCACCTTGGTACGGGGCAATGAAGCCTGGCATATTTGCATACTTACTGTCCACAAGGTAGTATCTTCCTGCATGAAAAAATTTTAATCAAAAACTGAAGATAAGAATTAAGGCTGCACTACTGGCAACAAATCTACCATGCTAGATTTATGCAGTTCGTCAATTTACTTGGCATCAAGACATAGAGTTTAACAAGTTTTTTGTAAAAAGATACAAAATACCTTCAGGAACTTGCAATTTGTTGCGCCTTGTAAGTGCTGAATTTAGAACTCTCAGATCTGATGCTGAGCCTTCCCAGCCAGCTAGAACGTAATGGAACTTAAGATCAAATGAACAAGCAGCCAGAACATTTTGTGAAAGTAATCCATTTTTGTTGCGGAAAGGTCCTTGCTCATCAACACCCACCGTCACTGGGATGTGTATGCCATCAACTGCTCCAACAGAGTCCTAGCAAAAGAAAACAAAATTGAGAGAGAAATAACCCACAAGCAGATATCAGACAATGCAATTGCCCTAGTATACCTTAAAATAAGGATAAAATCTAGGATCCTCTGAGATTTCTGAGGGAACATCAGTCCCAGGAGGCTGAAAGAATTCTAATGAAACTGCCATAATAGCATTCAGAACATTGTTGAAATGGCGACTAATAGTTTCCCCAGAATATCTGAATAACTCCTGTACAGCTCGAGTGCGAAGATTATGGCCAACTATGAACATGAAAATGGCTAATTGCTCCTCAATCTTGATTCGATTGGTATGACGCAACAAGCCCCTGCCTTGCAGAATATCACATAATTTGTAAAATACTGGCTTATCCATACGAAAATTTTCCAAACAACGTCCACTTTGCCCATTTAGTACTTCATCAACAAATTTAGTACCATTTGATGCCAGATTATGAGCCAGATCTTTGGGAACATAATTCCCATAGACTCCATCCTTTTCATCATCAGAGCTCTCCATGAAAAAATTGGCCTCTACACCCAAGAATAGAGAGATAAACATCAGCAGACAGGAAGATGGGAATCGTAATTGCAACTTCAAACAATAAGGAAATGGAGATGAAACTCAACAAGGAATGAACCCACCCAAACCAAAACCTGAACTAGCCGAAAAAAAGAAGAAGCTAGATCCTATTTCCTCTAAAGCACTCATGCTAGCCATTTTACTAAAGCTAATAATTCAAAATGCTTTCTAGATAAGCACTTATGTTCTCCAGAATCAGGAATCACTACATATAAGATCTTCAAGTGGACAGTTACTCCTATTGACTAATATCCCTTTGCCAACAAGTTGCCTAAATATCAAAATAAATTTCCTATGCAATTTGAAGTCCAGCTCCTAAAACAAGAAAATGGTCAATCAAAACAATTGTATACATTGAAGGTGAACAACAAACCTCAATCAACTTAATTATGATTATGAAGAAAAAAAGAGAGAAGAAACAAGCATATGCTAACCTGCACAAGACTAATGGTTTCAAATTACATAAAAGGAGAAGTGCTTATGTCGGTGAGATATACTTATTATGCATTTGATGCAAAATTTAACAAACAATGAATCACTACTTGAAAATTGCAATAAACAAAAGTAGAGATAATATATGGGATGGTGAACAAGCAAAAGCGCTAAAGAATTACAGATGGCTGAGATCCAAGCCTAGAGCTCCTAATTCCATTAGGGGAAAAATTCAACTAAGCTTGACCCATTCTTCACAATGAAGATGCTGAAAAGGAAAGCAAAACCACTAAAAATCTTACAGTAGTACTCCTTAACAAGTATATGATATTTCTGGGCATGTTATTTCTTTCTTTCAACAAAGGATCACAAAATGTGGATAGCCATGAAAAGAAAAAAAATTAAAATCAGAATTCCATGTACCAACACTACCAGCTCCGTCACATATTTGTTAGGGTTCCTCCATAATAAGCAGCTTATGTGGCTGGCTAGTCATTGATTCATCAAACTTGATAATAAGCATGACAAATTATATCTCCCCTCAGGAAGATACAATCACATATTTGCTCATATTACTATTATTAATCTGTGTTTCAATACTTTTACACATAATAAAAAGCAAAACATATAAATGCATTACTTGCCATAAGCTCTACCCTTAGATTCACAGAATAATAGCTACAGACCTTGATTTTCAAAACATGTATCAAATCCTCATGGCAAGGACTTCAAGCGGTATTCCACAAACTGAATAAGAACACTGCCAATACAATGAGGCACTAGAAGCACAAAATATTCAAAAAAAAAAAAAAAAAAAAAAAAAAAAA